TCTATCTATCTATCTATCTATCTATCTATCTATCTATCTATCTATCTATCTATCTCGAATACGTGTTTTCGTCAATATATAAGCTCGACAGCGTATGTTCGACAACTTGTTAATTTTACATGAATCTAGTTATTGGTTAACTTCAATGTTAAACCTTATAACTTATTGTTGATGTTCCTATATTTTTAAGAGGCGGGATAAAAGCAGAATGAAAAGAAAAGCAAACGTCCGCTTACTGATCAATCATTCATTTAATTATTCACTTACATCATAGGAGCGGTTGGAAAGACAACCTTTACGTGGGGAAATGTGAAGTCGCACTGAAGCTTGTTCTTGATTCCATCACGTAACGACGCACCAGTGCCGCCTTGAAAAACAGAATAATAATCAGTAAGTGAAACAAAAAAGTATGTTAAAGAGTCGCATGTTGTTTATTTTGCTCTAACAAAACTCCCAACCCAGTACGTCTGGCCACGGTAACCTCATCATCGTCATTATTTAAAAAGCCTACGATCGTGAATGTGTCAGTAAAATGCTGCACAAAATATGTGCGCACAGTAAATTGTAACCGTATGTCGCTCTCTGAAGACGATTCCAGAACATTATTTGAAATCGGGAGTAGGGCTCTGGTGGTCTAGGGGTTAAGCCAGGTGTTCCCCTGTCATTCAGTAGGTCCCAGGTTCGAATCTGGATAGCGACAGGAATTTTTTTTCTCTAAATTTTTCTCCTCTCACATCCTTTCCTACTCTCTAACAATGTTCTGTCATCTGCTTTCGTCTCCACTTTCTGCCCCCACCCTCTCACCTCCTTCGCCCCTCCTCTGCGGGTTCCTTGCTCATTCTGTAGCCTTTCTACTGCTACTCCTTTGCTCATTCTTTCTGCTGTCTTTCAGCTACACCCCTGATCTTATGGTAGGTAAGATTAACACCTTGTATTCTTGTACAAGGGCGAAAAATCTCGGAGGTCCCGTGTGCAAGTTGCGCACGTTAAAGATCCCGTGATGGTCCAAAACAGGTAAGAGCAGTAGGCTTCGGCCGCCACCGGTGCAAAATTCAACATTTCCTATTAGCTGGAAATATATTATGTGTTCCGCGCGCTCGTGTGATCGTATGCAGTTGCGAACGCCGTAAAACACTTATCAATAATCTCAATAAATAAATAAATACATAAATAAATAAATAAATAAATAAATAAGCATTACAAAAATCGAGAGTTTAGGCGAACAAATAAAAGAATGCAGATTCAATACCGTTCTAGCTAGAAATTTGAGCGTACATTGTTTGCAGATACCCTATGCTGTTATATAATAGTCTTCTTAATGAATAAAGACAATTTTCCATTAGTTACCGATGTCAAAGAATTTTGTCAACATTAATTATGAAACAGCCCGTTGTAAAGGCGTTTTCAATACGCCAAAGTGAATCAACAGTAGGAGGTCTAAAGAGTCCGAACAGGAATCACAGGAAATGCGAAATAAAATAAAAAACGTATGAAGGTGTTAGTAAGCCTTTATATCTTAAACTATGCGCGCACTGTGTGTGTGTAGGTGTGTGAGCGCGCGTGCATTATTGCTGCTGTTGTTGTTGCTGCTCTTCTTTGTGTTATTGCAGTCTTAGATATTGCTGTTAATGAAGATGGGCATTGGTAATTAATTGCTATTTAATTGTTGTGGGATTTTTTTAATGTGCGCTTTTCGGTGGTTTAATGTTTTTCCACAGCAAGAAAAAAACACTTAAAAAAAACCACAACAACATCCAGCAGATGCATAAGCTGTTATCTAAAATGATGATATGCGTCTTTTAGTTTTACCTGTTCCGTGCATGAATATCATAGTTGCAGTACATTTCCCCGAAGTTGGTTCATTTACAACAGCGTCGAACTCCGTCAAAGTCTCCGCCATTCTGGTAATAGGATCTCTCAAATGGTTTGACAAGTTTGTCAACTGACCATTTCCCCAGAGTTGCTCGCCTTTTACCCCTTGATACGGCTGTGTTATGATTGGCCAATGAGCTTGCCCCGACACGATGGCGGATGAACTCCCTCATCCTCGCATAACAACAATGTAAACATGATTTAACACATACGGTAATGCTTGAAAACTGCATATTACTTTACATAAGTTGGGCTCATAAATTTATTAAGGGTTGCTGACGCCTACCTTATTCTTTGATCTTTATTAATATGCTTTATAATAGTGTTTCTGGTCTCTAGCTCTCTTGAAGGGAGGGAGCGAAGACCGGGAGTGTAGAGAGTGTCGGAACGTGGCGATTGTATTGATTCTGCCTTTAGTTCATTTTTTCATGGTTCTTGGTTTTTAGTCAGGGATAGTCTAGGAACTAGACCAGGGTAAGATACATAATTGGGCTACCGGTTTGCACGTATTCCTAATCGCACAATAAACTGATTTCCGTTAATTCAGTATCAACCAAAGAATATCTATCTTGGCTAAGGAATTCTACACTGACACTAACAGTAGTAGCAGAACAGTACAGTGCTTGGAATTGGGTCTTCCAACAGGTGAGGTCATGATTTTAGACATGTCTGGTGAGTGGGCAACAGGACAAAGCGAAATTCCACCACAGTATCTAGTTCTTAAATAAGCACTTGAGAGATGGTTCAGGCCACATTGAGTTTTCTTTTACATGGGTGTCATGTTATATACGTATATTGGGTTAAGTTGGTTTTTTAAAATAAAATTGAGACTTCCATGTGACAAGTTTGCAGTGGCTAGTCTCTAGTCTGGTACCAGTACCAGTTACTGTACAAATTTCTCTCTATCCATTTGTATTACCGCATTGTCAGGAGAAGTTCTACATGATTCTCTCTGCTCAGTTTCAAACTTAAACTGTTGACTTTGAAAGCCTGTAGGCCTATTTTGACAGTTCAAAGCAACTTACTTTAAACAAAAATTGAATTTGAACAGAGAGGTGACTAGGAGGAAAGACGGGGATAATATAGTTTATTCTATGAGCTTCCGAGCAGAGAAATGAAAGGGGGGGGTG